ACTGTGGAGCCAAGCAAACTAAAGCTGTGAACAGTCTCAATCTCTTCACCATCCATCCTGATGCTGCCAGTTGGCCCAGTGGTGAGAATCTTTGTCTTCTTGATATTGAGCTTTAATCCATACTGAAGGCTGTAATCCTTGACCCTCTGTAGCAAGTGCTCCTCCTCAGCAAGCTTAGGTCCTCCTCAGTTTCAGCAAGCAGGGTTGTGTCATCTGCATAACGCAGATTGTTGATGGGTCTTCCACCAGTCCTGATGCCACACTTCTCATAGAGCCCAGCCTCCCAGATAATGTTCTGCATATAAGTTGAAAAGGTGTGGAGATAGGATGCATCCCTGGCGTACACAGTCAAGTGTTCTGGGATGCCCATTCTTCTCAGTCAGCCACAGTTTGTTATGATCCACACAGTCAAACGCCTTTGCATAATCAATGAAACAGACACTCCTCTGGTATTCCCTGCTTTCAGCTAAGATCCATCTAATATTAGCTACAATATCCCTAGTACCAGGACTGCTTCTAAATCCAGCCTGCACTTCTGGCAGTTCTCTGCTTATGTGCTATTCCAGTTGTTTTTGGATAATCTTCAGCAGAATCTTGCTTGCATGTGAAATCAATGACACTGTTCTATAATTCCCACACTCTGCTGAAAGAGGAGGGACAATCTCCTCCTGTACCAGTCAGATCCAATTTGATAGTACACACACAAAAAATTCATAAAATAAAAACTTTTTTTTAATTTTTAAAAAATGGACTCTATAGAATTGTGATATGTGACACAATGATTTTTAATTCCTTTTTTGTTAAATTTTACTAGCTTGTTTTACAATACATCTGTACATTAATAACAGTTCAATAATAGTGGAATATAGCTAAGACAAGAGAATGGAAGCATTTAGTGTAGACAAAGCACACATAGGGCTGATGTGAATTAGAATCCACTCATTGACAGCTAATAACAACAATAACAAAGCTCATAGGTTTTACCCTTGAATAGGCTCCCCTGACTCACATTTTATACTTCTATATAGTAAATATTTTTTTCCAGTTTTAAAGTAGATGAGAAGGAAGTAATGCATCAAAGATACAGGCACAGTGGCAATAGCAGTAAGTGGAAGCTGAGAGGCTGACAATTAAGAGATAACAGGGAAACAAAAGCTGATAAAATTGTTCCAAAAAGCATCATTGTTGATCAAGTATTAGTCATAGTGACCCTGTGAACTGATCTGAACCCTGTCCTCTCCTGTGCCATCCCCGTCATGTCTCACTTACCTGAGCCCATTCTAGCAGTCTCTGTGTCAGTCTATGACCTACTTCAGGGTTTCCAAACAGCTCACCACATCTTAACCCCCTCACTAGCTATTGTGTAATTAAATAGTATAAAAAAAGATTATTTATAATTGTAGTGACTCTGAATCATCAAGAGATGCTATCAACGTCTTTTAGAAAAAAGTATGCTATTACGTTAAGCCAAACATGTACACTTCAAAGTTGATCCATTTGGTATTGCCGTACTTCCCATTCTGTATGAAGCAGGCCTACTAGAATATAAGGTCCATGATATCAGGAAATTTGTCAGTCATGTTTGTTATTCTGTTCCTAGATCCTAAAAGACTACTCCATTAATGAACAACTGAGTTATATGAGTCAGTAAGATAGTAAAGATTTGTATAGTTCATTTTAGGAAATTTACATTAATGTTTAAAATCTATTTAGAATTCATTCATTTGCAGTGTTAAAGTGTTCTATAGGGTAAATCGTGTGTACTGTTCTTTCTAGGTAAAGTTTCCGTTAATATAATTTGTTATAGTTAACATTTTCTATTTTGTCTTTCTTTAGACACATGCCAGGACATACAAGTAGAGAAGTCCTGATCATCTTTAGCAGTCTCACAACGTGTGATCCATCTAATATCTATGATTTAGTCAAGGTAGAATCATACCTTTCTTTTTAATCAAAACCAAAATTACAGCATAAAAGAATTCTGTAGTGAGTTTATCACTAGTGTTCAGAACATTTCTGTGTTTTTTTAAGCAAGTTAACTCTGAAATATTTTTTTTCTTTTCCCATTTCCCCCATTCAACCTGTGTCTTCTTGGATCTACTGAAGACTCTCAAGGCAGCTAAAATTAGAGTGTCTGTTATTGGATTGTCTGCAGAGGTTCGAGTCTGCACTGTGCTTGCTCGTGAGACTGGTGGTATGTCTATTATCTTCAATATTTATTCATAACTACTATGTAAGAAATAGTGCTATTACTTAAACTAGTTGGGATGCTTTAATGTCATTATTATTTATTATTATTTTGTGTGTGTACAGTCAAATTGGATCTGACTGGTATAGAAGGAGATTGTCCCTCCTTCTCCAGCAGAATATCTGGTAGATTTGACCTCACCTCTGGGATTACAGTGCAGCTTCTTGCCTGCCACTAGGCCACCAGAGCTTGCCGCTTTAATATCTTTTTAAGCTACTAAATTCATACTAGTTTATTTCCTACAATCCAGAATATAAGTATTACCTTTAATATGTCATCTTAAAGATAATCTCCTCAAATGCAAGTAACTTTTTAGCATTTCTGTATTTAGAGGAAGTACTGCATAACTCCTAAAAGTTAAAAATTTTAGTATATATAATACTATGTAAAGATCTCTTAATTTGTCTGTAACTGTTATTTTTTTTGTTTTGTTTTGTTTTTGGGGGGGGGGGGTTTTTTTTTTTTTTGCAACTGTTATTATACCCAGAGAAGTCAATTTAGAGATTCTACTTAATGTTATTTAAAAGGCAGTTTAGAGGGGGCTCTGGTGGCCTAGTGACAAGAAGCTGCACTGCAGTCCCAGAGGTACATGGTTCAAATCGACCAGATGCTCTGCTGGAGAAGGAGGGGCAATCTCTTCCTGTACCAGTCAGATCTAATTTGACGGTACACACACACAAAAATATAAATTAAAAAAGAATTTTTTAAAAAAGGCACTTTAAAAAAAAAACAAAAAGGCACTTTATCTTAAATCTTTATTTTGAGAATACATGTTTTAGATAATATTTCTTTCACTTAAATAACTAGACATATAGTTCATTCTGATGTCTGGAAAGCTGATTGACTTTTCCCTTCTGCTCTTTGTCTTGTTAGGAATATACCATGTTATTTTAGATGAAAACCATTACAAAGAATTACTGACACATCATGTGAGTCCTCCTCCGGCCAGCTCCAGTTCTGAATGCTCACTTATTCGCATGGGTAAGTGTTTATTCTGTGTTATTTTAAAATACATATTTTCTAATTTCCTTTGGTTCACATTAGGCTTTTTGTTTTCATTTGTACAAATTGCCATTTTAACATTTAAGTGATTTTCACTTAATTAATTTCATAATTAGAAAACACAAAATGCTTATTGAACAAATTTAGAAACTATAGAGTAGTCCAAAGAAGAAAATGAATACCATCTAAAATCTGACCACCTAGAGACTGTTACTGACCTTATTTTTGCTATAACGTATAAAGACACTTTGTTTATGGGAAGAATACTTATATTAAGAACTTTAAAAAAAATCTACAAAATCCTCTGTAGTATATGGTCACCATTGTATAAGTTAGTACACCATATTGCTAACAGTGATTTTGGGTAGTTATAAGAAAAGGCAGGATAATGAATTTTGGATCATTACAATTTTTAAAAATTGTCTTTGTTCCCTGTCAGCCCCCAAAATTTATAACCCTTTCCCATTCATGTAAAATGTGTATTTTTTTTGTTGATTTTGGGTTTTTATAATGTGTTTTGATCTGGAGATAAGTTTTTATTTTTATGTAGTAAGATATATTTTATGGTTTTTGCTTTTCCTAAACATGTTTTTAGAATTAAAAATATAGATACAGGGAATAGGCTACAGGAATGATGTGAATATTCCATAATTTTAATCATATATTCATGGAATATGCAATAAATGTTCCATTTATGTCAGGAACTATTTAAAAATCACAAACTGCTTATTCTCTTTAAAAACCGTTTGTGTTCATTAGGTTAGAAAATGTAGATAGAAACTTGAGAACCAGAAGTTATATGTACAGTCAGATCTTTCCCTGACGTTTTACACTTTTCATTTTTCCTATATTTTGATTTATAGTCAGTTTCACCATAGATATTTCCCAGAGGATGGGAAGAGATTTTTTATACAAAGTTTCTGGTACAGACATTTTTAGTTTCTTAGTCCTAGAATTCTGCTGCTATTTCCTGGTAAAAGAAAATAATACCTTTTCTTCTGTGAAGGATTTCCTCAGCATACCATTGCTTCTCTGTCAGACCAGGATGCAAAACCTTCTTTCAGCATGGCGTAAGTA